ATCAGATCTTAGCTAGGTGTTGTGGTTCTCGAGATTGAGAAATGATGCCGCTGCAATAAGCTTATTCCTGTGTGGGCAGTAAAACACCCTTATAACTTTTAACGGCGAACCGACTAAATCTAGTTTTTTGCGACTAGAACCGACCAAATGGCGAATTTTTATCCGACTAGTTTCATAAACTCGACCATGGTCACGCTGGAACACGACACGCTACTAAATCTATGGGGTTGAATGGGTGGTAGTGTTTTAAGTACAGACTTTTTTTTACTACTATTATTAATGGCTTTGCCTTCGCATTCCACCAATCAAAAGGTTAGAGAAACAAAATTACAGATTATGGAAAAGGTACGAAATTTGAATGAAAAGGATTTGGTAGAATGGGTTGTATGAAGAAAAGACGCAAATAAAATAGAATAGAATTTATAGTTTTTTTTAAAGTTCACCCATTTAACAACTTCCCTGTCCAACGAGTCATATATGATTATGATATATGACTCATGGGAACGTTCTGAAGTAAGTCCATGAATAATATGCGACTCATTTCTCCATGCAACTTCAAGCACCCTTTTCTCTATGAACGTGATATGATATCTGTTATATTAGTATCTGAACTTTTGTATCGTCTAATATTAATTTTTGAAGAAGGCATTAAAAAAAAACTCTGTAGAAACTCGGTGGACTTGAGGGCCTTGTATGGGGACAGGAAAATTGCAGGTAACTACCATACGGTCCGAATAGTGTTTCTTTCTTTTCGCAGTCAACGTTAGAGCCAGTGAAAACAAAGTTATTTATATAACCAAGAAACCTTATTCTTGTATGTATATCAAATAATTCAGGAAACTGATTTTTAGATAATGCTATATTTACATAAATAAAACTAAACTTTAGTGCATTAGTATTTATCGTATAAACATTTTATTAGCGAAGGCATCACAATTATTCGGATTTTGTAATTTCTTACCAGATTTAACACCTATACATACAACAATAACATTTATATTGCTGTAAACAATGTTCATAATACTTTAGTGCTTAGGTTATAGGTACAGATGTCCAGGCTAAGCATGAGCACAAACAATGTTCTCCAAATTGATTGCCTTAACAACGCTCATAAATTACCAGATAGTGAGCAAGTGTGACTATCGGGTATTCTAACCATACTAGCGTCATAATCAATGGTAAAGTTTCCATACTTTTGACAGTTTGTTTGTGCTAATGCTACGCCGTTGATTTCAGAATACATATTGAAAGTAACGCCCCATATACAGACGATTTTTCGTTTCGGACGATCGTCGCGATAATCGTATCGATCCATCACTACACAAACAACTTTAAACATTCAGAATGTCACACACGTAACTTAAAAATTAAAGTCATATTACATGTAGCCTCAGGTTATAGGCCATAAGTTCGGGCAAAGTTTACGTTAATCGTTAACGACACAAATATTCACGACACTATTGATTCGTCGTTTCGATCTGTCTGAAACGACGGATCGTGAAGACAAATCGTCCCATATATGGGGCCGTTAGAGCAATGCCGGGCGTTGCGTTGTTGCAACTCTAAGATTTCAACGGTTGCTTGCGGTAGAGCGTCGTTTTAACGCACCATGTGGCATGTCGTACTGATACATTTTAGTACTGACCACATGGTCGTAACGCCGACGAAACGCATCGTATGACATCACTCTTGGGACCGTATAAATAAAACCATCTTAAATACTGGATCTATATCACGATCTGATCTATCAATAAATATCACTTGACTTTGTTTCAATCAATTCGTACCTACTGCATAACCGATTGCAACATGCAACGATAAGCCTTAATGCTGAACTGATATCCCTAATAGAAAAAAGACAAAAAGTTGCATTAATCCACCAATCAATATAAACCTTATGTCCAGCCATATTAAATTTTGTTTTTAATTAAGTATGTACTGAGAGACACAGTTTTGTGTACGCAATAATAATACATACAGTTCAATTCACAGTAGTGAACAGCATGCAGGTTATATTATTAGCTGGAAGAATGCAAAAATACACATAAAAATGTTATTACTAGTTATTTATAATTTTTCCGACATAAAAGTTGTTCAAAAGAACAATCTCGTGTAACATTATTGAAGGACTCCGCAAGCAGAAGTCAATAAGTCGTTCTCGTGTTCTATAAAGGTATGCACAAACCTGGCGAATGCGCCGCGACCGAACTGCGTGTGCGCTGCGCGCCCGCTAAATACACGCGTGCAGTTAAGTGCGACTCTATAGGCAAGCAAGCATATATATGTAGTACGCGAGAGACGCGCGAACAGATCGCGAATAGATCGCACAATGTAATGCACGTGTGCAGCTCGCCAGCCTTCGCAAACACGCGCATTCGCCAAATCTGTATGCACCCTAAAATTTTTATGCATAGAGGCGTTCCAAAGGGTCTGTCAAAGTATGAGTTTTTTTGTTATGATACTGTTGGTAGGTCAATGATAGGACGAACAAGTCGTGCGCCTGGTGGTAAGCGACACGGCTGTTGCAGTGCCACTCAGTTTTAAATCGCAAAGAGCGGAGGAGCACAGACACTGCGCCTCCTGCGCCCATATGCCTGTAATTTTACCAGCACCCTTACCCTTCAAAACCGCAACGCAGATTCCAGCAGAGAAGACTGATCGCGAGAATTTGTGAACTGTAAACGCCTGATGCCTGTTATTTGTGGAACCCTTTTATGTTCGGTCATACGTTTTAAAAGTTTTCACGTGTCAAAATTTCATATTTGTAACGCGTGTTCAGTTGGGATTAGTTGTATTGAATCCAGCGGCAAAAAGAAGCTACTAGCATATATTAAAATACTTATAAAATATAAAAATGCACATAAAATTATAAGTAAACAACAGTACCTAGTGCGAACTTAATATTACAACAATTGTTTATTTACAAAATATTCGTAAGGCATTCTGCGCTTTGAGAAGCGCGAATTGTATCTTTCACAAGCTTCTTTCAATGTTTTGTACCTGGAAAAGACAGTTTTAAAAATAATTTCCGTAACATTATATAAATAAATATTAGACAATATCACATACACACATAAAGGGTGAAATTAAAATTGCCAATTTATATTCTGTGATACAATGAACTTATTAATAAATAATAGGCTCCTGACAAACTTCCTTCGCCTCCTCCACTGTCGTCAGTCTCTTCATAGAAGCCCGTTTATTCTTGGTAATTTTAACCCGACCTTTTTAAGGATATTCGGAGGAGCGTAGCTGGTTTAGATATATAGTACCTCACAGAAAATATAGGAATTAAGTTTAACCCTCTGACGCTCACGCTCAAAAAATGACAAATGTCTTTTTGAAATAGGGCAGTTGTAGAACTTTAAAATAAGAAGAATCCAATACTTACCAAGAGTAATCTAGAATCCACTAAGATCTTAAAGCTTCGAGTCTGTTCTGCATCTCATCCAGCTCGCTCTCGTCGGGCGGCGCCGTTTCTTCTTCTTTGCTGGTGGAAGGTTGGCCGACGGCGGAAGGAGGTGCTGGCGCCTCGCCGAGTTTGCCTTGCGTTAGTTCCCATAGGACCTTGATGATTAATCAATAATTAGTTAAAACTATTTACGTCACATGTCGCAGGTGAGTCAAATTACGCGGAAAACACGTTACAGAATATACTCTGTAACGTGTATTCCGCGTGGCAGACAAGTAAGGTAAGAGTTAGGTAGGTCATTCGAAGAATACCCGATCTTGCAAGAGAACTCTGTCTCAGCAGTGAAAAACTGCTAACAGACCAACGACATAAAGCTAAGGGCAGTTCAGTGACATTAATATTATCATTCAAGCAGAGTGTTGCCCTTGAAACCAAACCAAACAATTGTTTCTACTAATTATCTGTCAACTGTTGACAGTGTTGCTATTTCATCTACTGTTTCTATTTATCTATCTTAAGTTTGAAAAATGGTTAGGTTATCGGAATGTCTTTTGCTTGATGTGTTTAGCCATCTATACCTGCTCTCTTCTTAATTACAGTTAGTTTTTTTTACATGAAAGTGTAAACTCCAGTGGAGTATATATAGGTAAACTTCTTTTTTTTTTGCTTGCAACGCGATGTTTGCGCGAATGAATCCACTACAACGCGTCGCCTCAGCGCGTATAGAATACGCCGTGTGCACAGGCTCTTAGAGTTTGGAGTCACTTCAGAGATTTCCAGGTCAACAACACATTATTTTTTATTTAGATTAAAATTGATTTGTATACTATATAAAGTACAATGTTTCGAGTTTCAACAAATTGGGAGTAAATTCATAACACCATTGTAATTGCATACTTTTTTTGACGATCCTATAGTCTGAATGCCATTTAATCACGTCAAAATAAAAGACTACGCTTTGCAACATTATAATACAAAAAATATATTCGAACCTTGTCTATCTCTCCCTGAGCCGCTTCTTCCATTTCTTCTTCATCTTCGACAGCCGACATGGTCTCATCCAGCATCTCCTCAATGATGCCGGCCTTCATCATTTCTTTGCTCATCTCTTGCATAGTGTGCGCTATTTCGGGCAGGCGAACGAGTGTTTGCATTGCTTGCATCACCTAGAGGCAAATGTCGAAAAGTTATCATTATATTGTAGTATACTCATCACAGTTTCATTATATTTAAATGTGCGGACAAAGACAGTTACAAGTAGCAGCGCAGCTTGTATGTGTGTACGTGTGCTCAGAAGGCGAAAATGGTGTGATGTCAAATGAAGATGGAGGGAGAATTAAGGTGCACAGTTACTTCATATTATATGTCATATGTATTTTAATGAATATTATGATGTTTCTTCTGCCATGATATTTATATATTTTTTTGTGAAAATACTCCACTGATTTGTTGTAATTACAAAGATCGAACAAACACACAGATAAAGTCCTTCAAAGCGGCTGAACTCGCACCAGCGACTTCGCCAAACCTGGGTTATCACTCTCTCGACTGAGCTATGGAACGAGTTAGCAGACCTTACGAATTTCTGCATGTGATTGTTGCAGATATAATTATGTTTTTGGGTTTAAATAGCTTTTTCGCCTTTGCACCACCTACAACAAACTTATGGAAGTTTTTCTTTAGTTTGCCAATAGGGCTAGCACGTTAAGGCGCGATTTGCGCGAGAGCGACATAAAGCGCGAGATACTGCTATTCTTGCATAGAGTACTGCCGTACTAGGCCTACAGGTATACTGCTCTGCTAAGCCAAAGCCAAAAGATGCTATCCCTGAGATACATCCATTTAGTTTTTTTTATACCATTCAATAGCTATCATAATTTCACACCTATTATTTGTAGTATTATGGTATAATGGAAATAGCGCTATGTAACTCACAAAATATATAAAATGGTACAATTCATGGATAATTTAGGCAAGTCAATAAATCTATTAGTCAAAAAACAAATAAGTTTTAACATCTTCAAAAAGATTTATTTTTGAAGATACGAAAATACAATTTACAAAAAGTTGATTTTCTCAAACTGTACTCCGATTGAGATAGCGCTTTTCGGCTTATCAGGGCAGTTTAGTGACTTAGCTCTAAAGGACAGGTGGTAGCTGTACCTTTGCAGCGACCAGTGGCTAACAAGAGTTTATGTTTTATTAAACATGTATCTTACCTCAGTTGATTTTGACAGAGAGCCTGCTACTCTCAATGTGGCTGTAACAAAAAATACATTAGTAGATAAATTGTATTTATTCAAGCGACACAACAAACAGCTATGACAAATCAGGAAATTGTAACATTAAACTGTTTGCTTGAGTAAACACAAATAATACAAAAACTTTGTAGTAAAACTTCCATACTATGAAAACAAAAGACGTGATTTTAGTAATAATAAAAACAATTGCAAAACAAAGAATAAATTAGTAAACATAAAAAAAAATGCCATTATGACATTTACAGTATTTTGAATATGTTTGATATAATTTAATTTCTACAGTAACGTAATTTAAAAACGTTTTATTAAATTAAGTAAAAATAAAAGAATTTAGTTCTCACTCTTTGCCTTTTATGGAGTGAGTTGGGATAGAACCAATCAGGGGGTGCAGTTTCTTGCACAGGTTGGTTTTGGTGCACTTAATTAATTTAATGTTAGGTGGTTTCAATCAATTTTATCTGTTTAGATTCTATTCAATGTGTTATTGTTTACAATTTTACAATATGTATTGTTTTTCTCATAGGGCCGACATGTTCAATAATGTTAAAAATCAAAGTTAAAAAAAATGTTTTATCATTCAGGAACTTCAGAGAAGGGTATTTTCAGATGAAATACACATAGAGATCTATGTGTATCACTTAAAGTTTAAGTAAATACACTCTACCTTATACAAATCTCTAATGCTGTTGGTTTCTGAACTGTAATTACTGGTGAACACAATTGATCAGTTAATGGCCGCAAATGAAGCCACCCTAATACCAATCTCTGATTATCTGTATCGAATTTATAAAAGAATTGTTATCGATTGTTAGTTTATAAAAGAAGTATTTACCTAGCTGATTTTTCATCTGCATTTGTACTGAATTTAAATGTGCTTTACTTGTGTAGATTTTACTAATCGCCTTTCGTGACCTTATGATCTCCTTTGCTAGTATCGTACACACTTGTTTGTCGTTTTTTTGCGCAGCCTCCTTCAAGGATTTTTTTATTTTCTCCTCTTCTCTTTGAATTGCTATAAAACATTAAAACATGTTTAATTAGACATCGAAGTTACACTTACTGTGTAGCTAAATACATTATAGATATTTTATTTATAGTTACAGCTCACCTCTGATTTGTCTGTCCAAATTATAGCCCTCTTTCCTGAGTTTATGAGACCATTCATTTACCTGAAACGTAAATAAAGTTTGATTAAAAATTACCTTGTGAATACAAAGAATATTATTTTAGATAAAATTACATACCATTTCCTTTGGATTTCTTTCGGGAGATTTACCGAATAAGCCCATTTTTATAACAAAATTAGTAAACTTGGGACAGTAGAATTTGTTTTGACAGCTTTCGCCTATTGACAGCTGAGCGATGACCTCATCGTGAGTCATCCCTAAACGAAACGTACACATTATACATTATTGTTTTATCTAAGCTTTCAAACAAATTGAGAAAAATATGGAATTTTATTATAAAAAAAAAAGAATTTAATACCAACAACGCTGCTGTAATACTCATTCCAATAATACTTTCATATGTCATTCAATCCAACTGCGTGAACAAGAACATGTTAATTGTCACTTCTTTTGATGTCTTAATATTGCCATTTTAAACTATTCTCCAGTAAAGAAGGGACTTGTGTTAACTAAATAAAACTCAATAATTATCAAAACTACATGACGGATATCTATGGCAATAACTTTAGCGACGCCAATGTTAGTTTATTACTTAAGAACATAAGAATCTTATCTTAGGATAAGATTGAATTTATTATTCGTGTAGTATAATATTAACAGAATATGTCTTTTCACTAAAAATGGGTAAGCATGGAATTCGGCTATGGTATTTGAAAAATTTCGTTTTCAGTTTGACTTGCACACGCCAATTTTCCAATTTCTTATTTCTGCAAGTTGCAATGTGAAATAAATGCGACGTTGATCTATTCTTATCAAGAAACCAACATTTTCTTCAATTTTGGATCAGGCCAGGTAAGTTCCTAAATTATATTAGTCTAATGGCCACTATGTTTTTGTTATGGTGACCAAAACGTACATTTGTAGCAGTGTTTTTACTTCATTTACGCCTTTTTGCAATGTTTCATTAGATATAAATCGATATTCTTTCTATTTTCTATGATATTCGATCGATTTGCAAAATCTAAAGTTGTATTTTAAGCAGTAAATACATGAAATAATAATAGAAGACCGGAAATATTTAATATCTAAAATTAGCGCGTCGCGCACGTGCTGTGTTCGTATGAGTATCTCGCAGCTTTCTCCTTCACTCCCAACTACGTTAAACGTGATGTAAAAAATAAAAGAAAGAGACAGATAACTGTATTCTCTCAGGTGCTGTTTGTTAACAATTTAAGATTACAGTTACCGAAAATAAGATACATACATTGTTTGTAAATATATTCCTTATGGCTCAACTGTACAATACCTACACTCGAGTTGAAATTAATATGGTGAATAGATTACATAGTTAGTAATCTAATCCTAAAATATTAACTTACGGAAACTCATAGTTTTAATAATAAAAATTATTGAAATATTCGAAAATAAATGATAGAAAACAGGTTTTGTATGTTATGAAAGCACGGCGTTTGGTTGTTGCAGCAAAATTTTATAAATAACGCAAAAAAAAACATTCTCGTAAAAGAAAATTAACGAAACGCCGCGCGGCGTTGTTCTCTGTCAAATTACCAACAGTATTGTTAACAACCAATGGTTACATTCAGTGACCAGAGGGTAGCTTGATAATAATTAATTGCCAGGGCACAAATTGCCTGGACTAGGGAGTTTCTTGGACTATGAGTACCAGAGCAACGCAATTTATTCTGGAACATGTCCCTGTTCACCCAGATCAGAAACAATTTAGAAAAGTTTGTTTCCCAAATTAGTCCTACCGGGAATCAAACTCAGGGCCTCCTCATCCAGCACTGTATTATTAGAAAAGACCAATGAAACGTAGCCACAGATAAGTTTATCTGAACATTTTGCACATATTTTTAAATTGACTATTTATCAATCAAATTTTCAGTCTCAACTCGACATGGTAAAAAAATACAATAGAATATTGTTTATTGCAACTGTGGTATAAATACAGTTATTACAAGTGCCTCTGTGGCTGAATGGTTACCATACTGGACTGGCACGCAGAGGTCCCGGGTTCGATTCTGGAGTCAGGAGAAATATTTGTATGGCCTACATTTACTTCTCTCGTGAGTTTGGGTGTAATTAATGGTTGTCTATGTACATGGCATCCGTGATAGAGGATTTCCCTAGTGCGGAGCTATGAGTGTGAGCATTCTTATTCTTAATAGAGATTGAATAATAACTTTTTTTATAACAAATGCCTTTAGTTTTGTAGTGAATTAATTGTTTTTTGTTATATTTTTTTAAATTTGAATGGATTTGCAATATGGACCTTCGTAAATTATTCATTAAACCCAAATCCAAACCTGATTGGAAACATTTTCCATTTCATTGAGAGCAGACATACATTTGGTCACAATCTAACCTGATTTTAAATGATTAGGTATGTGACCTGCACGGAAGTCTGTCCAAAAAAAAGTTATTGAAAAGGCCCTAAATAGCCCTAGATTGTATGTTTCTCAAGTAATGCAATGAAATTAAATGATTAAAATTCATTTATTATACATATATTTATTAGGTATTTCTGCATAATAAAATAACTCTAAACTTTAAAGATAATTTATTATTTAATATAAACCTTTGTTGCATTCATGGTTTTAGGCATGGGGTATCAATTCATACAAATTAACTTTAGTACATATTTGACACTAGATGCATTTACCTTACATTTAATATCATAAGTCATGATAATTGGTGAAAATAGTTTACTGTGGTTGAAAAGATAACAAATCGAAGATTTCTCTATGTATTGTTTTTGATTTGTTAGTTTGGAACAAATTGCATAGATGGCATTGCTTTGAATTTGTTCTTGAAAGTAAGTAAATTTTTACACTGACTTTTACTTAAAATATTAAAAGTACAGATTCAGCTTCTTTGCGATTTTATTATATATTATTGTTAAGGTGTGTACAAATTATCTTGCGAATGCGCCGCAAACACGCTGCATGTGCGCTGCACGCGCAATGCGTGCAATTTAATACATGTTAATGTATGCGGGGCGCGCGGACGGCACACGCATAGACGCACAACGTAACGCCCGTGCGCAAGCTTTTCGCAAACTGGCGCATTTGCGACGCAATCGCCTGATCTGTACGCACCCTTAAACAAGTACAAAAATAAACAAAATATATTTAAGTTGATTAAACCTTCAAGTAATCGTTACTTTTTGCAGTTACTGAAAAATATCAAGTTGTTTCAGACACCAAAAAACATTATTGTATTCTCTTAAGAACGTCAATTGCTGCTTTTGTTTCTATCTATCGGACATCGACTGCAGTCGACGTTTGCAGTTGAAGTCTCGATTGCATACAGTCGAACTCTGTCGACTGCATGCATGACATACATACGTATACTTCACGCCTTTTTCCCATCGGGGTAAGCAGAGACAACAGCCTTTCACTTGCTACGGTCCTGACACACATCTTTCGCCTCATCAACACGCATCAGTGCTTTCATACACACCATTCGTCGGTTAATTTTTTGACCGCCTTAGATAACAACTAGTTTCTTTCCCTGTACGCCAAGCCTGTACAGTGATGTGACGTATAAGGGGGAAACCTTTATCTTAATTCTATTCTCCTAAGTCAAAGAAGAACATAACTGAACAAAACATGCAACTATAAATCCATACTTAACTAGAATATGCAAAAAACACAAGGAACATCTTAATGTCTGATGACATTTGCGTCAGTTGTGATACCTGTAAAGGTATCGGCTGCGGTGAGAAGGTTATTCAAAAATCTCTTAGTAGATGTCACTAGCGGCCACGAATGCCGAAAGTCAGTATAAAGATCTATGGCAAAAACACATAGGAGAATTTCGACGACCTTGGTAACTGGACCCGTCATCGAACCTACTTACTATGAGCGTTTACTCTCAGATTTGAACCATCTGACGAAACATTTAGGCGCCGACTGAAAGACCTTTTCATGAAAAATCCTTTATACTCTGTAAATGAATTTATGGACCTAATATTGTAACGATTGACATACTCTTGTATAATTGTTATCAACTTATGACAATCCTTCATGGAGAAATATTTGATATGTAATTTAATGACAACAATATTATTTAATGAATTGTTAATTTTCTAATTGTTGTGTATTTTTCTTATAATTTTCATTTTTGTATGACAATCTCAATATAACTTCTTATACTTTGACATGTAGTGCAATTTATACTGTAATGTTACATTTGAGAAATAAATGAATCTGAACTTGAATCCGTGGCTCAGATGGTTAGAGCAATACTACGGTGCAGCCTGGTCGTGAATTCAAGTCTCACCGGGTCGACGATATTTTTTTATTTTTTGCTGTGTGTTCGATCTTTGTATTCATAATCATAACAAAACTATTGGAGTTATTTCACAAAAAATCTCTATAAATAAATATCGTTATATTTATTAATTTTAATTCATTGGCGTATCAGCCCAATTAATGTAAGACGCTTTAAAGTCCACGTCCGGTCAAAGGGTTAAGGGTATTCTTGATCTTGCCGTTCTTTAGGATAATGTACCAACCTGCCCGCTCACACTCGCCTTATAAGTATATGTCGTCAATGTTCTTTTATTCATTCTCTCTACATGTCCGAACCATCTAAGCATCCCTTTCTCTATCTTTGTCACTTCATCTTCTTCCACGCCGCAACGCTTTGTCACTCCAAGGTCAGATTTCTACTGCATTAATTCTACTTTCGTGCTTCTTCTGCCAAACCCAAAATTCACTAACATACATAAGTATAGGAACCAGCATCTTTCCCCTGCATGCATTGACTGCAGATACGCAATCCATCTGATGGCAGCATTATATTGCGCGAAACTCTCTTTTTTTATGCATTCATTCTTATTTACTAAGTTCTTGTTTTCTCTCTGCTGCGTTACCAAAATTGTTGCGGACGTTAGATAAGAAGGTCCCGGGTTCGATGTAAGGGAGGACCAATAATTAGGGTAACAAACTTTTCTAAATTGATTCAGGGGGTCTACTCCCTCCCCCCTCAAATAAGTAATACTCGACCTTATTAAAGGGCAATATCAAGTATGTAGCTTCATTCGCATAATGTGTTTTCTAATTTGGTTGAGTATTACTTATTTGACAGTAATTATTTCAAACAGACGGAGAACGAGAGTACAAAGTCTGATCTGGGTGTTCGGGATAGTGCCCCGGAGA